GACCTGGGGGTACTGGTTGACAGCCGGCTGAATATGAGCCAGCAGTGTGCCCAGGTGGCCAAGAAGGCCAATGGCATCCTGGCCTGTATCAGGAATAGTGTGACCAGCAGGACAAGGGAAGTCATCGTGCCCCTGTACTCGGTGCTGGTGAGGCCGCACCTCGAATACTGTGTTCAGTTTTGGGCCCCTCACTACAAGAAGGATGTTGCATTGCTGGAGCATGTCCAGAGGAGAGCAACCAAGCTGGTGAGGGGTCTGGAGCACAAGTCATACGAGGAGCAGCTGAGGGAACTGGGGTTGTTTAGTCTGGAGAAGAGGAGGCTGAGGGGAGACCTGATCGCCCTCTACAGCTACCTGAAAGGAGGCTGTAGTGAGGTGGGGGTCGGCCTCTTCTCCCTTGTAACAGATGATAGGACGAGGGGGAATGGTTTGAAGCTGCGCCAGGGCAGGTTTAGGTTAGATATTAGGAAAAACTTCTTCACTGAAAGGGTTGTCAGGCTCTGGAATGGGCTGCCCAGGGAGGTGGTAGAGTCCCCATCCTTGGAGGTATTTAAAAGAAGGATAGATGAGGTGCTTAGGGACATGGTTTAGTGGTGGGATGGCAGGGTTAGGTTAAAGGTTGGACTCGATGATCTTAAAGGCCTTTTCCAACCAAAGCGATTCTATGATTCTCTGATTCTATATCATGCATTTATTTGATGTTTTCCCTACGGACAAGAAGCAACAGACCTTACATTAGGGTCCTGCAGGCTGGAGGTCTTACTGGGATTTACAAAAGATGTCTCTTCTTTCACAGCCTGTTAAAAGAAGAATCCAAAGTTTAGTACAACATTCATACGCTTAGGGTAATAAAACTGTTTATTAAAGAAATATTCCTGTAAGCATTCCAGGAAACTGCAGTACCTAAAATGCCTACTCTGCCCAGATTTAAAAGGCACAGAAATTTTTTTTTTTCATCTCCTACATCTGAGATTCACTGTGATGAGCTACAATGTACAACATGCAGAGCAACTGTGTTAGGAAGAGACTGGATGGGGATAACAGAGGAGAAGGAAAGGAATGCTGACATTTATGGTTCCTCCAGAAAGCATTTGAGCAGAAATAATAAAAATCAACCCAACCAAACATACTGTAGTTGAGTTGTTCTTTTAATTGGAGTAGAATAAATATTTATGCAGCTACTCAAAATAGTGATGCCAACTTTTCATTCAGCCTTTGAAAAACTAATTGAAAAATGGGATCCCCTATACATAATCACACTGTACATGCAATTCACAGAAAATCTCTCCCACTCCTGCTCTCTGCTAAATTACAGAGTCCTGTCTCTCACATACCATTTGCATACAGAGCTGAAAATACTAGTATTGCAAAATGACATACATGAAAATTGCTTGATTACCCAGGAAACACCCAGTTCGGGCAGGTGTTGGTAGATTATGCTCTTCAACTGAGATGCAGGGTTCCACAATCCATGTCTAAATGCCAGTGTCAGCGCAACACCACACCCCTCTACAAAAAATACTGGCTGAAGACACAAGAGTATCTCCAAATCAGTAATGGACTTGGCAGGTCTGACATTTCCATTCTGCTTAAATGGACAGAAGGGAACTGACACGGTTCTAAGACAGACCGATTTTTCAGTGTTCAATATCTGAACCAGAATAATTTGAGGCCATCGGTCCAGATCAAACTGAATTAAATGTGTCAGTCTCATCCTTTTCAAAAATTAGGAGCCAGGTTCCTTCAAACCCATCAAATACAAATCAAAGGATTTTACAGGCATGTAAATATGCTGTAAATTTGATGTGAGTCCATCCATTCAACACAAATTGATACATTCCATTTGAGGGTACCCATAAGAAAAAAAAAAGAAAATCAAAGCTGAGTTTCTCCTATGCCTTAGCAACAAAACTACAAAATATCAGTAGGGATGCTCAGTGCTTGGGGAAATTGCCCAAGCTGTGATAGTTTTAGGTTCATTTCCCCCTTGTGCCAGAGAGAACAAAACCCCCATTGCCACTTCCCAGGTCATTATTTACCATCAGCCATGGTGAGAACAGGCTGTTCTAGCTTGTGCACACAATTAACTGTATGGGCAATTAAACTGGAACTACTGGGAGCCTGGCAGAAAGCAAACTCTGTCCTGGGCCTACTCCAGCCCAGGCAAGTACCGGAGGTGATGGATTAGGGACCATTTTGAGATAAGTCCCTCTGTAACCCTTCCCGTTAGTTGTTGCACCTTGTATATTGACACCAAAACTCTCTGAGGGGACCCTCTGAACCTCATCAGCAGGTTTGTCCCTTGCCTAGGGGCCCAGTTTACACAGAGGAAGCTAGTTTACTCAGAGGAGAACAGGATCAGCAGTAGGTACTGGAGACACACCAACATAGTGCTCTTATGTATTTGGGTTTAACTTTCCTCAGCCAGAGGTTTCCTCAGTCCTGAACAAATGCTCTAAACATTAAGGAGTCAGGCAAAAGTGAGACATAATCCCACCATCATCACCATGATAACTCAGCCACCAAATGTTTTGCAGCTAAGGTTTTCAGTGAATTAGCGTCACACTGTGAATAATTTCAGGACCAAGAGTGCAATTTTAAATTTTTAATATATTCATAACGTTAAGAAATTTAGCTCAGCTCTACAAAACTTTTATTTTTACTGGTCTTCTAGTAGCTCTGTCAAGCATACTGTTTATTCAAAATCTAGTGCTTTCTTGAAAGGAAAGAAAATGGGATTTAAGGAATTGAGAAAAAGCATTGAAAATCATTAAAATCATTCTTTTTTGGCATAGATGAGCACTGAAGTAGTATTTCTTTGTTCTACAGAAATTATAATGCTTTTTATAAAGCTGTTGGGTTTCTGAAAGCTGTAAACATGAATCCAGCTGTCAGAAACTTGATACACAGTCTCTTCTTCCATGCTGATGACTTAACAACATTTTATTGTTAAGCCTGACAAGCTAGTTGCTTATTATATGTCAAATTGGCTACTTTTTAAAACCATAAATTTTGCTTTATTTCAATTTTCACCAAATTAATTGAGCTGCCTTTTAAGATGCACTTGAACACAACAATAGGAAGGAGAATACAGAGATCAAAGATGCAAGGCAGGGGCTGTGACCAGAAACGAAATTATGAAAATTACACCTACTTAAACACTATAAGCCATGGACCTCATTAGCCAGTTGAGAGGGCTTCATTGTATTAGGGACAGTATTCACTGTCCCTAATAGCTGACCCTTGCTCTGTGACTGCATTACCACTCTCTTTTGCCTTCCCTGCATTGGAAGGCTAAGCCTGCATTTGAAGAAGTGGTGTGTTCCTAAACGGCATGATCAGCACCCTGAGGAACTTCTCTTGGTTTTAATTTTCTCCATTATTACTCATGTTTTAGAGAACAGAAAAGAATCCTGTGCCCACAAGTATAAGTATGGCAGACCAGTGAGCAAGTAATCCCACTCTAAACTGGAGGGAGAGAGTGAGCATGTAAAGAAATGGAGATACCTGAACAGCCTCAAGGTGATGCAGGCACGCACACCGGGTGCCACGGCTAATTAGTGCCACACATGAATAAGGTTGGGCTAATTCTCCTTGCCCTGTGCCTCTCCTCCATGCCTATGGATGAACAGACATAGGAAGATGTTGTACTTGCAAACATTTCTGCAAAGGGCTTCAGTCTTCAGGAACTGTACCACCCTTGCTTTACTTGTTGGCTTGTTGGGTTTTGGTTGGTTGGTTGGTTTTTCAGAGGGAGGCCAGTCAGTCAGCAGGTGACAGTATGCTTCTTTTATTTTTCCTCCTAACTCAGCAAATCACACTCACTAACCCCACAAGGACTTCCTCAGATTTACAGAAAAGGTGTGAATATAAAACAAGGGTTATGCCTGTACATAACTCTCACAATATAATTCCTTGATGGTTTGCCTTCATTTGAAAACAAGACCATGTGCTATGGCCAGGATTTGGGTTTCCACAGGAGGATGCCCTCCATCAGTAGAACAAGGGAGTTTAGACAAGGATAGCAGGAGGTACCTAGTGGGGAATGTATATGGAGAGCTGGGCAGGGCTCTGTCACCCCCAGAAAGCCCAGCACTGAGCTGTGCAAGAAGGACAGAGCCAGCAGGATGGAGCTGCTCAGATCTCCTTAACTAAGGCAGATTCTCCCCTCACCCAGAGGCTGCTGCTCTGAGAGGGGGAGGTTTCAGGGCATAACAGACCTGGAAACTTCATTTATACAGGAGCAGATTCATTTCATAATTACCCAAAGAGAAACAAGCTGGCTCTTGTGGCTACCGTACTGCAAAACAAACAAAATTAAAGGTCGAGCCATATAATCCATCCACACAATGCCGTTCTCTATTCTTACCTGCACTGGGCCCACAGCAAAAGAACAATTATTAATGTTCCAATTTCATATGCCATTAACTTTCTGGATGGTGTTAGAAACAAAGGTAAAGCATTACTTTATCATACTAGAGACAAGAAACATACCTGGACAGAAATGCCATTGTACAGCCTCTCTTCATAGATGATTGCTAAGAAAGACTAGTTTCACCAAAAGAATAAAAGAGGAGAAAACCATCTAAGTAATATCAAATTTTGCCCACAGCTGCCTAAGCAATCTACCTATGGGCTTCCAGGCTGATCCTGACAGTTTTCAGACTGCTTTTCAGTCGACTCCTGAGCACCCATAACCCCTGACGCTGTCCTGGCAGCCAGGTCCTTTGGAGCCTTAGAGAGGGGGCGGATGCTCCAGGGACACTACATCAGACACTGCTGAGCTTTCCAGCAGGGGTGGGAACACTTTCTCGCCTGTAGGAGCAACTCCACATATGAATTCATAAGCCCCGGTGGCTGGATTTAACTAGTGAACAGCAGCTCCTTCTATTTTCTTCTGAGGGAAGAGCTAGCCCTAGGATGATGGGGAACAGGACCCCAAAATGAGAATTGGTTGCACCGGGCATGTACCAAGAGGAAGATCACAGGGAAGGCACAACTTTGGCTATAGCCTTTTGTGCTTCTATACAGATGACTAAATCTGGCTGGGACTGTGGGGTGGTGAGCCCCCAGCAGGGCACCGGGCAAGGCAGGCTGTGTTCTTCAAACCTCAAGCAAGCACCTTGGGGAGCTAGTGCCCTCTGTGCCTCTCCTCCATCACAAGGGGCATCGCTGCAGCTCTCACCCCATCTGATCCACGATAGGAATATCTTGAATCAGCAAAAAAAGACTGCATGAAGAATCTGATCACTGCAGCCAAGGGAGGGGGGTGGTGTGTCAGGTTCTCATCTGAGAAAGACGAGGGTCTGGAATGCTCATATAAAACACATGATGTCTCCTATTTAGCAATTTCACAAAGTTACCAGTTACAGAAAGGAAGGGGGAGCAACACAGCTTTCACATATTTGGAGATCTTCAAAGATAAGGAAGCAATGGCTCTCACTGCAGTGGCCTGGAAGTACTTCTCTACCTTGGCTCTTTCTGGCTCTGCAATGATGCTAAGGAGGCCCGAAGCATACAAGATTTTTCAGCTCTTCATCAACATTTTTTTGTTTGTCAGCCACACTGATTGTTGGCTGATCTCATTAGATAATACAGGCTAAGCAACTCATCATCAGGAAGAATGCCCTGCCAAGGTAAACCTACTTTGGTGATTTAATATGTCAAATGTATCCTTTCAGGCAGAAAAACATCATGGTTCTGTCTCCTGGGAACAGACTACTCTGTTTTTCCCCCTCTGAACAGGGCCTGGCACCATGTGCCTCCTGGGCTATGGCGGGGCTCCTCCACATCACCG